GACGTATTTAAGGAATGTATCCTTTGGTTTATGATCACTCAAATTGATAAGATTAGTGTAGTGTACCCATTTAATTTGAATTATAATTCTACGCCAAGTTCTATTTCTGTCTCAGATAAGAATACTATAGGAGCAAGATTAGATTACTACAGGAGCAAATACACGTAGGTGTGGAAGCATTCAGAGCATTCAGAGTAGGATAAGATTAAAACAGGAGTAAATAAGATTAGAAAAAGGAGCAAAAAATTTTATACTTAGATTAGATTAGAAGAAGGAACAGTTAGGTTAGTTTACTACAGGAGCAACTAGGTTGAGAATAGTTTACTACAGGATTAACTAGGTTGAGAATAGTTTACTACAGGAGTAACAAGGTTAAGAATAGTATACTACAGGAGCAACTAGGTTGAGAATAGTTTACTACAGGAGTAACTAGGTTGAGAATAGTTTACTACAGAAGCTACTAGGTTGAGAATAGTTTACTACAGGAGCAACTAGGTTGAGAATAGTTTACTACAGTAGTAACTAGGTAGAGAATAGTTTACTACAGAAGCTACTAGGTTTAGATTAGTATGTAAGTTGATGAGGTTTTACACCAAAAATGTTTAGATTTTATAATCTTGAATGTAAAGTAAATTATAAAATATAGAACCATCTAAATCGGACCATTCCGATATTACCTAACAAACTCTATATTATCAAGAACGCGCAGATGATAAGAAAAGCTTGATTTTTAGCCCGAGTTTTCAAGTTTATACTAGGACCGGGAGAGAGTTTCAAACTCTAATTCTATTCCTGAATATCCGGAAATGGTGAATTTCATAATATAACTTTCTCCGCTATTCAAAATATATAATTTTGGTCAATATATTTTACATATTCGTGATATTAATAGGCCTAAGAATTGCATCCAGTTTGTCTAAAATCTGTGGTTTTACAATATGTCTTTTTTTCTCATAATTTTAAACAAAACTGATACTTTTTTCTCTGTCATTACTTCCTTGTTTGTAAAGTTGAATGATATTTAGAAAATTTATTTAGATTTTAATCTGTTTATTTTTCAGAAAACAAGAGTTGGCTCTACCGTATATTTTGTACTGGTGGAGTAAACTCAGAAGATCCATGGAACCCGAAGGACAACAAAGAGAACGGGATGATGAAGTTTTTCCGTGATGTAGTCGGCACCTGGATAAACAAATCGTCCTCCAAGGCTCTGATTCTCCTAGTGTTCTTCGTCTATGTTGGAGTTGCATCCTGGGGGGTTACGCAGCTAAAAGAAGGTTTGGAGAAGAAGAAACTATCCAGGTTTGATTCCTACTCCGTGACCTACTATGATGCAGAGGATAAATACTTCAGAGAATATCCATTCCGTATCAGTGTAAGTAGATTCTTCTCTTCAACACAAATATCAACAGCCTTTGCTTGTCTGTTTGTCTGTGAGTTTACTTGTTTGTAACCGATAAACGTCAAAACAGCTGAACCGATCGTGCCAAATATTATATGGTACGTCACATGATTCCAGGAAAGGTTTATGGATGGTTAGAATTGAAAAAATTGCCTTACAAAAATTTCAATTTTATTTTTCAAAATCCACGAAAAAAAAGCGATAACATAGCGACAAATAAAAGTTTAAGATGGGCCTAGTAAACATACATTTTAAGAATTAATTGTTAATTAATTCCAAGTTGGATCTAAACTGAGGATTTATTGATATTTTACATGGTTCGGAGTTGAGTCGACTGTATCTCGTGCACTATAAGATATTAAAATTAGATTTATTCATTGTTTTCAGAAATATTGTCAACATAGAAGGTTTGAAGACTGAGTTAGGGTTTTTATTTTTTAATTCAGGTTTGAAGAAATTGCAAAAATGTATTAAAATTTTACATTAGTTTCATGAATGCGTATTGTATAAGTGTACATTGTGCAATACACGTACACAGCCATACAGTATGATACAAATGTAGTGTAACATGTTTACTGATCACACATGTTTTATATTGTTTATAAATATACAGGACGGAACGTTGTCTCATCCTCATTATAATAAGGAATTGAGTCTTTGTCACAAACTCTGATTTTCTAATCCCTATATCTTTGGACCCCAATGTCGCAAACCTTTGATTTACAATAGGTTCTAAAGGTGGTTTGATATGTAGGAATATGATAATTCAATGCAACACGTATAGTTCCTATGTGAAGAATACATATTTTAATGTAATATACTTAGTACTTACCCTCTCGGCGAAGGGAAGGTTGTGGTTTTCATGATTCTTTAGTTTAAATATTTAGCGCTCCTGTACCAACCAGACCAACCAGACCAATGCAAGAATATTTTCAAGTATTAATATCAGTGTTCTGCTTGAATACACATTCAGTTTAAAACAATACGAGTATTATTTTTGTTTATACGAGTATTATTTTTGTTTATGCAAATTCAAGGAAACAATAAAATTAGGTTCCAGCAAAATCTAATTACTGATAAGAGGGGACATAACAAAGCGCAATAATAAATCCATAAAATCTAAAGAATTAAATCCAATAATGAAATATGAATTGTGTTTATAATTGTTTGAAATGAATATATAATGAATTGTTGCAGGTAACGGTTAGTGGACCATTGGACTATAGTGATAAGAAGATTCAAGAGGACATGGAGAAACTACTCTCTGCTCTAGAGAATACAACATTCATAGCTCCGATATACACTGAGAGTTGGCTCAGATCTTATGTAGACTATGTGGATCGATGGAAGGATTATCCAGACTCAGAACTTAATGTTGACGATGAGCAATCATTCATTAAAACATTGGAAGAGGTAAACTCTCTATTAATTAAACTGAAGGAAATATTTAATTTTTTTCGAATTTTGTGTTGATGATGATCTAAACCTCATAGAGTAAATACAGTAGGTTGTAGTGGGAAGGTTTAATTCCTGGGAAGATTTAGGTCCCTTGGAAGGGTTTAGGTTCCTTGGAAGGGTTTAGGTTGCAGGGAAGGATTTAGGTTGCTGGTAAGGTTTAGGTTGCAAGGAAGGTTTAGGTTGTTGGCAAGGTTTAGGTTACTAAGAAGGTTTAGGTTGCTGGGACGGTTTAGGTAGCTAGGAAGGTTTAGGTTGCTGGGAAGGTTTAGATTGTTGGGAAGGTTTCGATTGCTGGTAAGGGTTTAGGTTGCTGGGAAGGTTTAGGTTGCTTAGATTGGGTCAGGTTGCTAAGTCTTAGTTACTAGGGTGAGGGGCCGGTTGCAAGAGTAATTAGACAGACGGGATTGAGAATTGTGCAAATCATTCTGCACAGTTCACGGTTTTTATAGATCTAATTCTCTTCTCTTCTTCTCTTGACAGCAGTGCCTTGGGCCACTCATAACCCTTCTCTTTCATCAGTCATATAAATATTAATTGGGGGGGGGGGCATTTAGAATTATATTGAAGACACAAAGTTCTTATACAGTATACAAAGCACTGAATGTACTTATTACATACCTATTTGACTACTCTAGGTTTGGTCATGTGAAATATGTTACATATATATATATATATATATATCTACATAATCCAAAGATATGTATCATGGCCCTAACGGATTTAAAAGCTTGAGACGAAAAAGACGTGTAAAACGCTACCGGCGCTGTTTGATTGATCAAAATCTTAAAATTCCCTTTACTTAACACAAAGATGTTGCTTTAGATTCCAAATTGTAGCATTCAATCTGATTTTTGGATACGAAATTATTTTTAAGTAATCATTTTCATATTTTTGTTAAAACCTGCTGATTTGGAAACTAGGATTATGCAACATTTGCATTATTGAAATGTGCGTTTAACTATTGCAGACATTAAACCAAACACAACATCTGGTGGAACCAAACCAAACATATCACTTATCAAACCAAACCAAACATTTCGCTTATCAAACCAAACAAAACATTTCACTTATCAAACCAAACCAAACATATCAGTCATCAAACCAAATCGATCATATCATATCACTCATCAAACCAAACCAAACATATCATATGACTTATAAAACCAAACCAAACATATATCACTTGTCAAACCAAATCAAACATATCACTCATAAAACCAAACCTATATATACAAGGAAAGTATCTACGGAATGTTCCCGAGGAATATATCCCAAGAATAAGTCCAAGACATATATCCAAGGAATACATCCAAGGAATATATCCAAGGAATATATCCAAGGAATATATCCAAGGAATATATCCAAGGAATATATCCAATGAGTATATATAAGGAATATATGAAAGGAGTATATCCAAGGTATATATCCAAGGAATGTATCCAAGATTGTAATCAAGGAATGTATCAAAGGACGTATTCAAGGCTTGTAAGTAAGTAAGTAAGTAAGTAATATTTATTGCACAATAACATGTTAACATATTTGAGTGGCAGGAGATATACAATTCGCAGGATTGCGGTTTACAACGTAGATCTCATAATACAGTCTTTAAAACAAATTTTACATTAACAAGAAAATAATCCATTGGTAATTAATATATTTTTCATAACATGAATGTAACGAATATATCCAAAGGACGTATTTAAGGAATGTATCAAAGGACGTATTCAAGGAATGTATCAAAGGACGTATTACAGGAATGTATCTAAGAATATTATCAAGGAATGTATCCAAAGGACGTATTTAAGGAATGTATCAAAGTACGTATTCAAGGAATGTATCAAAGGACGTATTAAAGGAATGTATCAAAGAATATTATTAAGGAATGTATACAAAGGACGTATTTAAGGAATGTATCCAAGAATATTATCAAGGAATGTATCCAAAGGACATATTCAAGAAATGTATCAAAGGACGTATTAAAGAAATGTATCCAAGAATATTATTAAGGAATGTATCCAAAGGACGTATTCAAGGAATGTATCCAAGAATATTATCAAGGTTACAAAGGACGTATTTAAGGAATGTATCCAAGAATATTATCAAGGAATGTATCAAAAGACGTATATAAAGAATATATCCAAGAAATTTATCTAAGAAACGTATCCCAGGAATGTATCCAAGGAACCTATTCAACTATAGAATGTGACCTTCCTCACGTAGTTCAGTCAGCATTAATTACAAATTCCTAAACCCATCCTTCAAGATAATTATATCAATTAGCATCATTATCATTAAATATTTCGTTAATAGATTTAATAAAGGATCGGAGGCTAGTAATGATAGATGATTGAATAATTAATAGGAATCCCTAGGATAACATCTTTTAAGTATACATCAGTACAATTAATCATTTAATACCTTTAAGCATTGAACAGTTTAAATATCTTGTGTCAGATAGATTTACAAGGTTTAGTGTAATACTAGATACAAATAGACAGGTTTATTAGGACAAAGATCAAAGATAGCAATTGTTCCACCTTTATTAGTTATCTCTGTATAGTTTAAAGTACTGAGACACCCTGTAACACACCCGAGAAAGTTTAATATTTCTGGGATACCCTGTGTCCAACCTGTCTTGTTAAAGTTCTCTAGAATATCCTGTTGCAATCCTTGTATAGGTTAAGGTTTGTATGAACCTCTGCATAAAGGAAAAATGCCGCCTTTTCAACAACGTATTCCTGGTTCTGATTCTTCAGTTGGCGTCTTGTATAAATTATTCCCAAGTTTACAGGAAATACCGCGCTTCTGAGCTGACATACATTATACAATACACACACATACATATACACATAACCCCCCCCTTTACATGCTACAGTAGGTTGTANCACCCACACATGCTTACTTGTAGACTAAAGGGCGCGGTCTCCTGGAGAATTTAGTAGAATAAAGATAAACAAACTAAAAACAAATACAATAGATACTTTGATATGATTGTACAGTAGTCTGCGTTTATATCAATACAAATAAAAACGATTTTTCTATTTAGGTTTTGATTTGTATGCTTTTTTCCAATTACAAGTTTACTAGTAAACAAAGAGAAGCTGTTAATTGACAGCTTCTCTTTGTTTCCAAGTTTGAAGGCTTGGTAGAAATCAAATTGCAATCGAAAGTCGTCTTCATTGTATTGATAAAAATGACGACGGCAGTATTATATTTATTCTTCTATTTTAGGCTGATTGCGGGACGAAAAAGCATATATACGGGAGCAGGTTTGTTCTCCAGGGGTTCAATATCACCAATGCTAAAGACGAAGCTTCTCTGGTTCGGGAGCTGAGAGCAGTCTGTTCAGCTTCAGGATACAATGTAACTGTGTTCCACCCATACTTCATATACTTCGACCAGGTGATATACACAACTAGGATATCCGGCAGAATTGACACTGAATCTTCTTAACATTAACCTTCACCCCTTAGATTCTAAATCATTAGTCTCAGTTCAAATCCATTATTATTTACTCCTCCCGTTCCAGTTCAACCATTCATTCATTCTTCGAGTTAGTTTACAACTTAAATCTTTATTTTCTTTAATTAATGACTTTTCACCTTCATTTTTTATTTGACGTTTCTCATTTTCTTTTCTTCTTTTCTTCCTCCGTTTTCTCTGTCCTAGTGCTTCCTTCCTCCGTATTATCCGTCTTTGAGTTCCCTTCCTCCGTCATCTCCATCCTAGTATTCTACTTATCCATCTTCTCCGTCCTAGTGTTCTCTTTATCCATCTTCTCCGTCCTAGTGTTCTCATGCAACACGTATAGTTCCTATGTGAAGAATACATNTCCATCTTCTCCGTCCTAGTGTTCTCTTTATCCATCTTCTACGTCCTAGTGTTCTACTTATCTGTATTCTCCGTCTTAGTGTTCTATTTATCCATTTTCTCCGTCCTAGTGTTCTCTTTATCCATCTTCTCCGTCCTAGTGTTCTATTTATCCATCTTCTCCGTCCTAGTGTTCTCTTTATCCGCCTTCTCCGACCTAGTGTTCTCTTTATCCGTCTTCTCCGTCCTAGTGTTCTATTTATTCGTCTTCTCCGCCCTAGTGTTCTCTTTATCCGTCTTCTCCGTCCTACTGTTATCTTTATCTGCATTCTCCGTCCTATAATTGTTTTATCCTTCTCCGTCCTAGTGTTAAATTTATCCGCATTCTCCGTCCTATAATTTTTTTATCCTTCTCCGTCCTAGTGTTATCTTTATCCGTCTTCTCCGTCCTACTGTTATCTTTGTCCTTATTCTCCGTTCTAGAATTCTCCTTTTCCGTCTTCTCCGTCCAATTCTCTTTATCTATTATTTGGAGTCTTCTATTTATGTTTTGCCTCAATTTTCTTTGAATTCTTCTCACCCTCTATTTTAACACAACTTCTCTACTTCCTACTGCTTGAACCATTTACATATTTGAAATGGGATTCCTAATTTTAAGACCACTTCTGAATCATTGAACTTCCACCTAAGCCAAGAATTCCCACCCCTCCCCCTCCCATGCTCTAATACATTTACGAGGGTTAACTGTATTATAATATAATTGTGTCGGTGTGACATGGTAAAGATGAATGCTCTGTTGTATAACATATATTTATATATTTAGTAATTATATTGAAACGGTTTAAAACTGAGTTAAGCCTGATATATCTGAGGGTTGAGCCGGGTTTAGGATCGCCCAGGGCTGGATCCTATAGATCCAAAGAACAATAAGAAGTTCCAACTGTTTATGATTTGGTTCACAACCATCGTATCTAAATCCTGTCGTTACGTAATAAGAAATATTGCCATTGTTTTAATATCTGTGTAATTTTAACGTATTTGTGTAAAAATACTTAAAAAAATTTATTACTTGCCTTAGAAACTGAAATCTTCAATTAAACTAATAGAATTTATGTATCAAGTACATATGTAGAATATACTGATGTTATATATTAAAACCTCCCTGCAGTATACTGAAACTGTAAACAATAGAAAGAAATGTGTGTGCTAGTTTCAATCGTTCAATGAAGCAGAAAATACCACTACTATTCTAAAACCGGTATTTTCCAGAAAACCATATCTAAGAAACGGACTAAAATTGCAAACTATACCCTGGAAGGGACTGTTCGCAAACTATACCCTGGAAGGGAGTGTTCGCAAACTATACCCTGAAAAGGAGTGTTCGCAAACTATACCCTAGAATGGATTGTTCGCAAACTATACCCTGAAAGGAAGTGTTCGCAAACTATCCCCTGAAAGGGAGTGTTCGCAAACTATCACCTGAAAGGGAGTGTTCGCAAACTATACCCTGAAAGGGAGTGTTCGCAAACTATACCCTGAAAGGGAGTGTTCGCAAACTATAACGTGAAAGGGAGTGTTCGCAAAAATGACTAATTCCAGTTTAATTTCAGTTTCTCCTGGTTCTTCCGACAACTGTTCAATGCGTCGTGATTGCTGCTGCTGTCATGATGGTTGTCTCCTTGATCTTCATACCGAACCCGATCTGTTCGCTGTGGGTCGCCTTCTCCATCATCTCCATTGAGCTGGGGGTTCTAGGGTTCATGACACTGTGGGGAGTTAGTCTGGATTCTATCTCCATGATAAACCTAATCATGTGTATAGGGTGAGTAATTAGAAAAATAAAACCATGACTTAAAATTAATTTGAAAATTTTCGCAAAATCTTAATTTAAAATCCGGGGAAATGGCCGCACTGTTTAACACTAGATTTCTCCCACGGTTTTATCAAGTGCATTTGAATCCAGTTTACAGCTTTAATTAATTTCAAACGAACAATTCACACGGAATGAACAGCTTTCAGCTAATTTTCATATTTCACATGGACTTCAGCAAATTTCTTAAGGATCTTCTAAATTTACGAATCTCTTTCATTTATTTTAAAATGCTAGGCCTCAATTCTTTGCTATATTTAGTGGGTTTCCAATTGAATATACTTAAACCTAATATTGTTTGAAAAAAAAACATTATAATTGTTTTACCAATTATTTATTTTAAAACAAATGTAATTTAAACATTAAAGAAATAATTTTGGTCATTTTTCAGGATTTGATATTTTTCTAATATATTTACAAAACTAAGATACAAGTAATGTTATCATTTTACAAAAAAAGATCAGTTGAAAGATCCATATTTAATTACGCCAATTGTCTGTTTAAATGATTTAAAATGTGTGAATCTATGTCTCGTATTAGAACCCGTATTTGCTCGAAGCAACATTTACTAAAATCTTTCAAGTCCCAGTCAAGCGTTACAAGAATACTGATAACCTAATATTCTTTGTAGTGGATTCCCGCTAGTCATCTTAGCATAATATGTAATTATATAAAAAATAATATTTCAAGAATAAAATACTTGTGAAACTTCTTAGACCGTGAAAAAATTACCTCAAATACTATTCATAGATAACGGGGATTCTATTCCATTTTGATATTTTAATATTTTCAGGTTTTCCGTGGACTTCGCAGCTCACATCTCCTACCACTACCTAGATGCTGAGGGAACCCCAGACGAGAAGGTGAAGGCTAGTCTCTACGGATTAGGTCTACCCATAGTACAGGGAGCAATATCTACCATACTTGGAGTTATAGGACTCATGATTGCTCCGTCCTACATCTTTATCACGTTCTTCAAGATGGTTTTCCTTGTCATCCTACTCGGAGCTCTGCACGGTTTATTCCTTCTCCCTGTTCTCCTCTCACTGTTTGGACCTGGATCCTGCAGTAAACAGGAGAAACCAAAATTAAAATCCCCGGCCACCTCCTACATGTCGGACGGAGACAGTATTCCAACTAAATCCCGGAGAAAAAGTCCCAGCCTGGATTTTGGTGAGGAAGGATTAAAGATTCCTCGACCAGCAACTACAATTAGTTTGAGTACAGCTACAGCTACAGATATAGAGACTAGTGGAAGCAGTCCTGGTTCAGCTCAGGCCAATAAACGACAAGAGAAACAGAAGAAAACCCGTCGAACCCGGCAGGAACTTCACGAGATGTATCATAACAACGGATACCTCTCCGAGGAGGACAACGAGGAGGTCGGAGTTAGAAACTGGAGGACGCATCCTCGAGGAGCAGTTCCTGCAGGGATAATGTACTACAATAACTATCCCGGATACTTCCCACCCTATGGATATCCAGTAGATCGTCAACCCCAGAGCAGTCAACCTCATCCATCCAGAGAAAGGAGACGAAGGAGCGCGAGCAGAGAATGCAAGAAAACTATTCCTAAGCACTGAAAACAATTTTAATAAATTTCCTAAATGTGCCACAATTATGTCTCAAGACACTAAGTGCCGAAATATTCTTCCATTAGTTTTACTTTTACCTATTCGTTAGTGTACTTACAGTGAGAATTAGACAATTGTAGAATAAGAAGACGACAATATATCAATACTCAAGTGTATTTAATGTTGTTACAAAGCAATTAGTTTTACAACTTATTATCTTATTAACAACTTATTAAATCAGTCATTAAGTTAAATGGGTCTTAGTAGTGATGAAACTGTGTCTAATGTTCTATTCAAAATCATAACTTGAGTCTAAAAGTCGTCTTCCTATTCCAGATTTTTTTCTGGTTCTCACTGTAGTATTCGTTTGTGTATATTTATGTCAACAGTAATTAGATATTTTAAATATTGTCAATTATAATCAAAATGCTCAATAAATTAAAAACTATGTAGATACAAGGTATTTGTAAAGTGGTAAAATGTTTAACTTTGAAACTTCGCAACGCCTTGGTCTTTTATGTTACCTCACTCACTAACTTATACTTTCTTGTAGCCCTAGATATGTACATTTTAGAATTATAAAGCAACTATTTTTGGTTTGATTTTTAATGAAGTAATTGGCGCAAAATTCTCATCGATTTCTGCGTGTGCGCTTGGAACCGTTAGATCACTGTGATCCTTGGACTATAATCCTTCATGTTTAATCAAGAATTATAAGTCCATCAAAACACGGTAGAGTTTAAGCTGAGAAAATAATCAAGTTAATTAATACATAACTAGCTTTGCCCGGTAAATAAGTTTTTCCTAAAAAATCCACCCAACCAACTTAGAACTTTAATCTGCAGCTATGAACATTTCCATAGTTCTACCAAGCTCCCTAATGAAAATTTGAGGCAAATCGGCCAAGGGGTTCTTGAGTTATGATCGGACATTCTCATACTGCTGTGCAGTGTACATAAGAACGTGTACTACAACGTTTAGCCAGAATTGTTTATAGAAATTCTCGAAAAAAAAATGAAAAGACGACATTTCCGTTGCCTCATCAATCATCATCGACGCACTTTCCCTATGTTATACATAATACATATTTTAACAAAAAGAATTCCAAAAAATTTAGCAAATTTAACAAAATACTGAAAGAGCTTTGAACTCTAATCCTTGGATAAATCCAAATTACTAAACCTAATATTTGGTAAATCAATTCTTTTTATTTCACTATTGAATTTTTAGATTAAAAAATCCGGATGTAGGTCTTAAGCCTATTTTTTTTCACACACCTATAAAACCTATTTTATTTTTTCAATTTAAGTATAAAATCCACAAATCTTAATCATAAAAGCCTTGAGTTTATAGTTGAAAATGTATTATACCAATCAAATAAAAAGGGTAAGCAATAATAATGTAACTTTCTTTTTCCTTTCCTTCCCCTTTTTCTTTAGAATGGGGGATATATTCCCACAACCTTTATTTTTGGAGATTTTTGAATATTTCCTCAAAAAACATTTAATTTTTTATTTTTTGTTATATTTTTAAAATAAAAATTTACTTACTTACTTACTTCTCTATCACAAGTTAAAAGGTCCACGCACCCCTGACCCTTTAGTGAAAGTAAACTCAACCTGAAGTCTGACCACGTCAACTTTGTTGCACCGGCTAGCCCTATTGAGTGTATGCTTTATTTACCAGTGTACAAACTGGGACCGGAAAGGTTGACCCGGCTCGGAAATTCTAATGTACTACGACTGTCCGTGGGACTGTACGTGTAATTTCAAGTGACCCTCTGTGCAGAAATGGCAATGCCCGATCGACATTGCTTTAAAAGCTTTGTCTGATAAAGTAGTATTTAGGTATGCATTTTTTATTACTAACTAATAATTCATATTGCTATTTCAACATTACTCAATTCAAACCTTACTATTTTTTATTTTGGTTGATAACTACACATATGCTTATGAACTTACATATATTTGACAACTGGATTTTAAACACAACACTTCTTGCATTACGCATTGTTTCTGCAGATGGTTTCACATTGACGCATTTTCTTTTACTGTGTATTTGGTGTCCAATCTATGTAAGTTCATAAATATATAGTTGTATAACTGTGATCTATATATATCTCTATATATAAGTTTAAGTAAATACAGATTTAGTTTTTAATTTGCCGCTTGAATGGATACAATATTTTTTAGCTTAAACATGAACATATTCTTTGTATTTTCTGTACAGGAAAATTAAAGCTTACAAAGAATCAAATCAAAGGCAAATCAATCTATATTGCTTATTTACTGCCGTTCTTTGCGAGATCATTTATCTTAACCCTAAAAGGCTGGCACAGAGATCTAAAGGTTGCAAGCTCTTATGAAAAAACGAAAACATTGAGATTTTTTTTCTTAAAATCTAAAGTTAAAAACAAATGCTTTAAAGTTTAAAAATGTATGAGTTTTTCTGTCTTGGGCTACTAAAAAGTATACGTGGCTTTGCCAACACTTCAAAGTGGACCCAGTCTTAAAAACTGATGAAACTTTTCATAAAAGTCTGGATCTATGTTTGGTGGGTTGGAATCAGGGGGGGGGGCGGAGTTCCTCCGCTCCCTAGAAAAAATCTTTAGGGTACAGTTATGGAGGTGCAATACATGTTCGTAGCCCAACTTTTCAAGGCCAACTTAAATATAAATTTTAGATCCGTAGATCAAAGAACGAAAAGGTTATGAACAACTTTAGATTTTTTGAAAAAGATATGCAATATGGGCATGCTGAGTATAGGCTAGATAGAAACTGGTGGTCAAATCTATGCAAACTTACTGCTACGACGTTGAGACCTCGAAGCTCTCATCTAGGTTTCATTTTATGAGAAAAGCAAAGGAACTGAGTTTTTGCCACAAATTCTGATTTTAAAAAGTTATATCTTTGCAACTAGATGGTGTAAACCTTTAATATTTCAAATTATCATAATTTGATCTAAAATGATTGATAGCTTGAAATATCTAAATCAGAGTTTGTGATAAAAACTCAATTCCTTTATTCAGTTGCAGTGAAGAAATTCAAAACATTTTTGATGAGTTATGATTTAAAACATAAAAGATTTCAATCTTACCTCTAGTTTACTCTAGTTTGGCGTGTTAAGAAAATATGAATATAAATAAACATGCATTCTGAAGATTACATAAAGCGCGAAATAAAGTAAAATGTTTTTGATTATTTATTAATGTATACAATATACAATACCACTCACACTATCACAATATAAAATATACAGTATACAATATACAATATACAATATGAAATATTTGTTTAAAGGGCTTGTTCTAATATTTGAAAATAAACATAATTACAAAATTTTGATATTTAGGATCCCTTATTGCTTAAAAGATGATCAAGAACTTCCAAAACTTTCTGTCATTTTTAATTGAGAAATCATATTTTATAGAGAATTTCGCGGATATTTTTGAGACTTTTTGGACTTTTAGACTTAGGAATAAAGCTATAAATATGTACCTTTTAATATATGAAATAAAATAAATAAAAAATACAATTTGGAAGAAAAAATATTAAGTTTAACATATCTAAATTTATAAGAAATCCGCGTTTTTGAATTTTTTACGAATAATGACAGATTTTAATGAACTTGATTATCAGAACTTTTTAGACTTAGGCTTCGTTCCAATATTTGCTACAAACTCAAATTTTCTAATCCCTCTATCTTTGCAAGTTGATGGTGTAAACCTTTGATATTTCAAACTTAGATGATGTGATATATCACAGTTTATTATAGTTTGAAATATCTAAGCTTTACGACATTGGGTTGCATAGATAACGGGATTAGAAAATCAAAGTTTGTGACAAAGAATCAAATCTTTTGAGAATCATCATGTTGTTGAGAAGTTTATCTCCGGTGTTGAAGAACTAATAAGCTTGACTGATTTTACTCAAGGAATTGAGTATTTGCCACAAACTCATATTTTCTAACCCATATGTCTATGCAACCTCATGATATAAACCTTTGATAATTAAAACATTAATTATTTTGATCTAGAAGAATTCACAGTTTGAAAATCTAAGGTCTCCGACATTGTTTGCAAAGATATAGGGGATTAGAAAATCAAAGTATGTGGCAAAGACTTAATTTCTTTGCTTCAGGCCGGCTGCTTGTAAAATTAATGTAACATTTAATTCAGAAAAATTCGAATCAAACGAAAGGAATTAAGTCTTTGTAACAAACTAAAAAATGTCATCACTATATTTTTGCAACCTATTGGTGCAACCCTTTGTTTCAAACTCAGATTATTTTATTTAACTGCACTATTCATATTTAGAATTATCTTAGTTCTGCCACATTTGGACTGCAAAGATATAGGGATTTGAAAACCACAGTTTAATTGTCGCAAAGATTCAACTCCTTTAAACGCCCAAAGGATTTAAGGGTCACATTCCTTACATATGTTTTCAACCACAACTCATCTTTTTGAAAAGCTATTCAGCAGAAGAAAAAGTTTTGCATTTCTAACATGCAACTTAACAAAGGAATTCAGTCTTCGTCACAAACTCTGATTTTCTAATCCTACATTTTACCAACCCTACGTGGTAGACCTTAGATCTTCCAAACTGTGAATTCTGTTAGATGAAATAATGTAAGTTTGAAATATAAAAGGTTTACACTGTCAGGTTGCAAAGATATCGGGATTAACAAATTTGAGACTCAATTCCTTCTAGTCTCTTTCTGCAAAACTGGAGGAACTACGGGCAAACCAAGGAGAATTGAATAGAAGGAGGGGGCGATAGGGTTTCGGTACACTTTGCAGTGACGTTTTTGGACTGCTGAAGAACTAGCTTTTGCATAACAACAATATCAAAAGCAGCCGATCTAATGTAAACAAATATGAGTTAGTATACGGTGAATCTTCATCTAACGCCAGAGATGCGCCAGACGTCTGTTTATCATTTGTGTTATTGTTTACAATCTTCATTATTGTTGTAACGCAAAAACTAGTTCTTCAGCAGTCCAAAAACGTCCCAGCAAAGTGTACGGAAACCCTATCGCCCCCTCCTTCTATTCAATTCTCCTTGGGGCAAACAAAGTCGTTCCATTGCTTTCGTATAAATTTGACCTTTTCTTATGTCTTTTTTGAACATGAGAGGAACTGAATTAGTAATTCTCATCTTCTCTTTTCATCTTCTCTGATTTAGTTTAATTCCTTTAAGAGAGAAGTTACCATGCTCAGAGTAAGAAATAGAAAGCTTCCTCTAATTTGCTAATCCTTATATCTTTGTATCCTGGTATCATAGACCTTTTATATTTCAAACTCAAGAATTATGGCATATGAAGATCGATTAGGCAAAGTTAGAAATATCCATAGAGAATAGAATATATAGAGAGGAATTAAAAGAATCTCTCGGTATGAATTTTTTCAGTCCCTTTTAGCCTGAAAGGGTGTTCAAAGTGTACAAATCATGT